TCCTTTCATTTATATTTGGTCCGATATTTCTATCACATAGGGGAGAGAAGGTCTTCAAAATCTATGGACTTTATAGACAGTCTTTATAAAGAGATGCAATAATAAATTTCCTTTCATTTGTATTTGGTCCGATATTTCTATCACATAGGGGAGAGAAGGTCTTCAAAATCTAAGGACTTTATAGACAGTCTGTATAGAGATACAATAATAAATTTCCTTCATTTGCATTTGGTCCGATATTTCCATCTTATAAAGGAGATAAGGTCTTCAAAATCTAAAGACTTTATAGACAGCCTGTATGAAGAATCACAAAATAACCTACTTACCTTTGCATTTGGCTTGATATTTCTGTCTTTTAGAGAAGATAAATTCTTCAAAATCTAAGGACATTACACAGTCTGTATAGAGACAATAATCCACTGAATTTAATTTGGCTTTGGAACGTTATTTGTATGTTAGAGAGAAGAGAGTCTCTTTAAAATTTAAGGTCTTCATAGCCTGTGGATCCAAGAATAAATTTATATTTGGTCTGGTATTTTTATCTTATAGAAAAGATATGGTCTTCAAAATCCATGAACATTATAGACAGAATAATATTCTCGATGTTAAACATTCGGTTTTTTATGTGTTAGTGACCTAAATGTCTTCCTTGAACTGGCAGTGAAAATGTTCTGCGTGAAGAACTAATAAAACAATTAAGATTGGTCTGAGAAAGTGTTAGAAAACTCCAATTACAAACAAAAAACATTTGCAGTTTCTTCTCTCTTCATTTTAATATAAACACTTTTCTCTCGTTGGAACTTCTATAACCTCTTCCCTTTATACACACACACACACACACACACATATATATATATATATATATATATATGTATATATGTATATATGTATGTGTGTATATCGGCGCAAAGTTTTGAAATACTTCGTTCTACTTATCTGGATCCTGAACAGCGAAGAACAGTGAAATATATATTGAACACTCTATTGAAAAAAAAAAAAGCCTGGATCTCCTTAACATATTATTAATTGTATATTTTGCTTATATCAATAGGCTTTCACATTATCTCTCCCTCTCTCTCTCTCTCTCTCTCTCTCTTATAAATATATATATATATATATATATACACACACACACACACACACACACACACACACACACACACACACATATATATATATATATATATATATATATATATATATATATCACCTTACATCAACTTAAAACTACCCCACAAATGTGTGTAAAACTGTGTAAATTTAAAACATTTTTTCACCCATGGAAGCCTGGTCTGATGAACCAGGTGAAAATTATATTCCTGGGGAAATAAATTATAACTAATGGACCCTTAAGTTTATCTGGTTTCTGTTTTACATTGAAATAATAATTGTCTGATTTGACATTGAGCTCTCTGGATTACATTCCCTTGGAATTATCCATACGGATTACTAAACTTTTCATTACTTATATATATATATATATACATATATATATATATATATATAATATATATATATATATATATATATATATATATATATATATATATATATATATATATAATCATATGTATATATATATATTAAAATCATAATATGTATATATATATATGGATAAAATCATATATATGTATATATATATATATCAAATCATAATATGTATATATATATTTATAAAAATCATAATATATATATATGTGTATATATATATATATATATATATATAGATAAAATCATAATATATATATATATATATATATAAAATCATAATATATATATAAATATATATATAAAATCATAATATGTATATATATATATATCATATTAGAATCATCTCCAATGAATTTCTATAGATACTTTTAGTATCTGCAATGTCCCTATATATGTAATCATTAGAGGGAATGAAAGAAATCCGACCTCGCATATCAAGGGATTACATAAAGAGCTAATATTAAAATCATCTCCAATGAATTTCTATATATGCTTTTAGTATTTGCAATATCCCTATATATGTAATCATTAGAGGGAATGAAAGAAATCCTACCTCGTAAATCAAAGGTTACATAAAGAGCTAGTATTAAAAAAATGAAAAGCAAGATGGAAAGAAATGAGGAAGGAAATAAGTAATAAATTTGTCAGCTCGAAAAAAGATCTCTTGAGAAAAATAATTCTATACTATAGTTTCCCCAATATTAAGGCCAAAGTGCCACTCAATGTAGATTGTTAGAGCGGTAAAATAATGAAGAATAAAATATTTTAATGGACATAGAATAAGGAAAAGAAGGATGAAGAAGATTAAAAATAATCTTAAGAACCTGAATCAATTGAGAAGTAGAAGAAGAAAAGAAGATACGAAGAAGAAGAGGAAAAAGAAGAAAAAGAAGAAAAAGAAAATAGAAAAACTAAAGAAGACGAAGTAAAAGAAGAAGATAAAAAGAGAAAATTGGATGGAAAAAGAAAGAAGGAATAATAGAAAAAAGGATGACAAAGAAAAAGAAGTGGAAGAAATGGCGAAGAAGAAGAAGAAGTAAAGAGAAAATACGATGGAAAAAGAAGGATGGACAATAGAAGAAGAGAAAGAAGAAGAAAAAAATGAAGAAAAAGAAGGAAAAGAAGAAGAAGAAAAAAGAAAAGAAGAAAAAGAAGAAAAAAGAAAGAAAGCAAAAAGAAGAGAGGAGAAGAAGAAGAAATGCGAAAGATTTGAATAAATCTGGACGCTGGAAAAAGAGGATCTCCTGAAACATTAATTTTTTAAAATAGTGCAACCAATAACAGGCCAAAGAGCCACTCATGGTAGATGTTCACTGTATGAACTTGCTGTAATTTAAGAAAAAGGAGGAAGAAAGAAATATGTATTAAAAGGAGGTCTAAGTTGAAGAAGGAATAAGAAGAAAAAGAAGACAAGAAAGAAGAAGAAAAAAAGAAGAAAAGAAAAGGAAAAACTGGAAAAAACATAGGAACTCGACTCTCCGAGTTTCAATTCCTACGCATTATTCATTCCACCAACCGCACATCCAAGCTTACAACATCTGGTAATTTCAGGCGGTCACATATTAAGATACTGACCAGGTTTGACGTTGCTTAACTTCGGAAATCATACGTGATTCCGTGAGCCAAAGGGATATGGCAGTGACGAAAAAGAAGATCAAGAACTAGACGACTAAAATATGCTACTGATAATAATCAGAAGAAAATGAAGAAGAAGAAGAAGAAGAAGAAGAAGAAGAAGAAACAAGAGGAAGCAGAAAAAGAAAAAGCAACACAAGAAAACAAGGAAGAAGAAAAATCATAGCATGAAGAAAGACTGGAAGAAAAAGAAAAAGAGAAAGAAAAAGAAGAAGCTGAAGTAAACGGGAAAAAGCGTTAGAAGAAGAAAATGAAGAAGCAGAAAAGAAGAGGAAGTAGAAGCAGAAGAAGAAAGAGAAAAAGCAGAAAAAAGAATTACGAAACAGGAGCAAAAATAGAAGAAGAAGAAGAAGAAAAAGAAGAAGGAAGAAAACAAGAAGAAGAAGAAGAAGAAAAAGAAGAAGGAAGAGAAGAAAAAGACGGAGAAGGAGAAGGAAAAGAAGAAGAAGGAAGAAAAGAAGACGGAGAAGAAGAAGAAAAAGCAGACGGAGAAGGAAAAGAAGAAGAAGAAAGAAAAGAAGACGGAGAAGAAGAAGAAGACGGAGAAGGAGAAGGAAAAGAAGAAGAAGGAAGAGAAGAAAACGGAGAAGAAGGAAGAGAAGAAGACGGAGAAGAAGGAAGAGAAGAAGACGGAGAAGGAGAAGGAAAAAGAAGAAAGATGGGAAGAAAAGAAGACGGAGAAGAAGAAGGAGAAGAAGAAGAAGAAGAAGGAAGAGAAGAAGAAGAAGAAGAAGAAGAAGAAGACGCAGAAGGAAGAGAAGAAGGAAGAAAACAAGAAGAAGAAGAAGAAGAAGAAGAAAAAGAAGAAGGAAGAAAACAAGAAGAAGAAGAAGAAGAAGAAGAAGAAAAAGAAGAAGGAAGAAAACAAGAAGAAGAAGAAGAAGAAGAAGAAGAAGGAAGAGAAGAAAAAGACGGAGAAGGAGAAGGAAAAGAAGAAGAAGGAAGAAAAGAAGACGGAGAAGAAGAAGAAAAAGCAGACGGAGAAGGAAAAGAAGAAGAAGAAAGAAAAGAGAAGATGGAGAAGAAGAAGACGGAGAAGGAGAAGGAAAAGAAGAAGAAGGAAGAGAAGAAAACGGAGAAGAAGGAAGAGAAGAAGACGGAGAAGGAGAAGGAAAAGAAGAAGAAGGAAGAAAAGAAGACGGAGAAGAAGAAGGAAAAGAAGAAGAAGAAGAAGGAAGAGAAGAAGAAGAAGAAGAAGAAGAAGAAGACGCAGAAGGAAAAGAAGAAGGAAGAAAACAAGAAGAAGAAGAAGAAGAAGAAGAAAAAGAAGAAGGAAGAAAACAAGAAGAAGAAGAAGAAAAAGAAGAAGGAAGAAAACAAGAAGAAGAAGAAGAAGAAGAAGAAGAAGAAGGAGGAAGAGAAGAAAAAGACGGAGAAGGAGAAGGAAAAGAAGAAGAAGGAAGAAAAGAAGACGGAGAAGAAGAAGAAAAAGCAGACGGAGAAGGAAAAGAAGAAGAAGAAAGAAAAGAAGACGGAGAAGAAGAAGAAGACGGAGAAGGAGAAGGAAAAGAAGAAGAAGGAAGAGAAGAAAACGGAGAAGAAGACGGAGAAGAAGGAAGAGAAGAAGACGGAGAAGGAAAAGAAGAAGAAGGAAGAAAAGAAGACGTAGAAGGAGAAGGAAAAGAAGAAGAAGAAAGAGAAGAAGAAGAAGGAAGAGAAGAAGACGGAGAAGTAGGAAGAGAAGAAGGAAGAAGAAGAAGAAGAAGAAGAAGAAGAAGAAGAAGAAGAAGAAGAAGAAGAAGTGTATGTAATAAAAGAAAACGGAGATGGGGTCGAAAGCAAAGGAAGGAAAAGTAAGTATTAGGTTGGTGCAAAAATAATGACGTAATAATGTCGTTTTTTGACGTATTTTTTGAGGCCAAAAAACGACATTATTACGTCATTATTTTTGCACCAACATAATACGAAGAAAAAATACGGAAAAGAAACGAGAAGCATAAAATAATTCGAAGAACTAAAACGAAGGAAGGAAAGAAGGACGGAAAGAAAGAAAGAAAGAAAGAAAGAAAGAAAGAAAGAAAGAAAGAAAGAAGGAAGTAGGAAGGAAGGAAGAATAGAAAAAAGAAAGAAATAAAGAAGGAAGGAAAGAAAGAAGGAAATAGGAGGAGGTAGGAAGGAAGGAAAGAAAGAAGGAAGAAAAAAGAAAGAAAGGAGGAAGGAAAGACAGAAAGAAAGAAAGAAAGAAAGAAAGAAGCAATGAAAGATGGAAGGAAAAAATGAAGAAAGGAAGCAAGAAAGGTTAGAAAAAAAGAAAGAAATAAAGAAAGAAGGAAATAGAGGGAGGTAAGTAGGGAGGAAAGAAAAAAGGAAGAAAGGAGGGAGGAAGGACAGGGTCGAAAGAAGGAAGAAAAGAAAGGAAGGAAAAAGGAAAGAAATGATAAAAGGAAGTGGAAAGTGTACAAACGATAGAGAAAAAAAATTAAAAAGAAGAAAAATGGAGAAAATGTGAAAATAATAAGAAATATATAAAAATAAGAACGAACTCCACCTCGAAGTTCATGAAGAAAACAAGAAAAAAAAAAACAATGTGAAGACGAGGAGAACCGTGAATAGATATCCGCCTGAAAATGCGTAGCAGTGGCAAGAGAAAAGGGACAAAGGATCGAATAAAGGATGAGTCGACCGCCTTCAAGATGGCGCCCACTCTGGGGCAAACAAATGGCGGCAAAAGTGGCGGGAATGAGAGAACGCGCTGTTGGTGATGGTGACGGTGAATGGCAGGAATCTCGCTTTTCGTCTCGTTGCTTGTAGCGTACCGAAGTTCTCCCACACGTGAACAATTTATTTCCAGATTTATGGGAACCGTGTCAAGTCCGGGGGCCCGCACCCCCGTCAGTCCGCACGTAATGTTTCGTAGACTGACTGACAGAAGGACACATCAACGCGCAAACTGACAGACAGACGCACGGGCCGAATTGAAGATGGATTGATATGGTTCCCCGATGCCTATAACCCCATCGCACTGGCAGGTCCATTTTTCTAGCCTTCTGCGCACGCGCGCGCACACACACACACACACACACACACACACACACACAGATTCGGGCGCGCGCATGCGCACATGCATTGCGTAATCTAAACAGAAGCAAACCAAAGAGAACGCGAATTTTCAACCTGAATAGCTTGGGTTTTCGTCAGATGCCATCTTCTTTTTCTACGTCGTGAAAATAGAGGTGAACACCGAAGTTGTTTTCTTTCCTTCTTTCCCCTCTAACACTCTTGTTTCCTCCTGTCTTACCTTCCTTCACTTTCTTCCACATCCCGTCTCCCTCTCTATACACCCACATAATTTTTTTCCTAAAGATTATTTTTGCAAGGCCGAACATGATAATTTATATCCACCAAAAAAAAAAAAAATGGAGCCTGAAGGTGAAACTGGATTGTATAAGTAGTCGAATTTGACACTCTCTTTTCCACTTTTTATTCACAGTCCTTGTAATTTTTAAATGGCAGCCGATTTTAACTGAACCGTCAAAATATCCGGGTTTCTCAACTGCAGGTTCATACATTCTCGCCTCTAAATACCCGAAGAGTCATCCCATAACTGCATAAGGTTATTTTCTAAACTTTACAACAATGAATAATATTTCTTTATTTCAATATAAATCTGTCTATATTTCTGAGATGAGGTATTATGTACAGTATTTACATTAGTCGGACTATTGTCTTCATCTTTGTCGCCATATTTGTCACAACATTTCGGCCGTTGTACGCTCCGGCCTTCTTCAGTTGGTTGGAATTTCGAACTGAACACTTTATTTCGATCACTGGGGTAGACTGTTCTAGTTCCACGTGCCATGTTTGATGGATGTCAGTTATCAGTTATCTCCTGCTAATTTTCCCTCTGAAAGTTCTCCACTGCCTTAACCGGGTATTGAACTCACCTTCTATGGGTCTGTCACTGGATTTAACCAACGTCTTTATCCATTGTGACATGTGTTCTTGAGGAAATAAAGGGTTCAGTTCGAAATTCCAACCACCTGAAGAAGGCCGGAGCGTACAACGGCCGAAACGTTGTGACAGATATGGCGACAAAGATGAGGACAATAGTCCGACTAATGTAAATACTGTATTTCAATATAAGTTGGCGACAAATCCTCATAATTTTACAATTAAAAAGGCTAGCTGTAACCGTAAGTTCTATGCTAACAGTTTCTTCTCTCGCACTTCTTGCTTGTGGAACTAACTTCCGGTTTCTTGCTTGTAGAACTAACTTCCGGTTTCTTGCTTCCCAGTCAATTTTGATCTTCAAAAATTTAAAGCAATGTCAATCGTTATCTTCTGTATTCTTAATTACTGTACTTTTTACTTTTCTCATATACTCTAACATTCAATAAACCCTTGCGACTTAGTGGCTTTATTGCCTTGCTTCGGGTGAAACGAAGGATAAGGTTAATAGTTAAAAATGTCTGAGTCGAAAAAAGGGCAATGTCTCATTATTATTTGAAAAATCTTGTATTATTTTAAATTGGTTGGAACGAGAAAATGACATTTCAAATTGAATGGGTAGAAAAATGAACCATGTTTCCTTATTTTAAATTATTTGCGTAGAAACATTGGATAACGATTCCTTATCTCAAATTGTTTGAATCGAACAAGAAACAATGTTTCTGTATTTCAATTTGTTTCGATAGAAACATAAACAATGTAACCTTATTTTAAATTGTTTAGGTAAAATCTATGGACAATGTTTCCTAATTTTTGTTTGGAGAGAAACATGAAAAATGTTTCCGTATTTCAAATTGTTTGAGTAGAAGCTATGGATAATGTTTCCTTATTTCAAATTGGTTGAATAGAAACACAATTTTTTTAATTTTTTTATTGTTTGGGTAGTGATTTTCCAAGCGTAGCTTAGATGTGGCATAAGGCCGAAAGTAGGGGGCACCCAGTGAGGATCGAACTCACTACTCAGTTCTAGCAAGACAATCTTGCCCAAACGTGCCCAAATGAATTTCTAAGCATAGCTTAGATGTGGCACAAGGTCGAAAGCGTGGAGCACCCAGTGGAAATCGAACTCACTTTTCAGTCGTAATAGATCTAGCGAAGCAAGCTTTCTAACCATTACCCCACGTCGAAGTGCCCAAAATGCCTGGGTGAAAACTATGGACAATGTTTCCTTATTTTAAATTTGTTGGATAGAAACATGAAAAATGTTTCTTTATTCCAAATTCTTTGGGTAGAATCTATAGACAATGTTTCCTTTTTTTCCACTTTTTGGATAGAAACATCAAAAATATTTAATTTCAAATTGATCGGGTAGCAATTAAGAGGTGGTTCCAGGCTTCTCAAAACTTCCCGATCGAAGGCCTTGCTGCCGGTTGTAGTTTATCGTCATACCCAGGACTAGACCATAAAAGGTGCTACCAACCAGGGTCAGGGTGGACCTGAGAACAACAGTAATTAATATGAGGTTTTATGTTTCTCAAAACCTCCAGTAACGCTATCAGAGGCCTTGCTGCCGAATATAGTCTGTCGTTATACTCCCAGCTTAGAGTGGGACCTAAATCTATGGGTGGCAAGAAGGAAAACTCTGAATTCAAAACCTGAGGCACTTCTCCCCGTGTTATGGGTAAATAGCAAGACAGACTGGGTCCTATAGCCTTGGATGGCAACTAGTCTAGGAGAATAACAACTCTGAATTCAAAACAGCTCCGAGAGGGTTGGCTTCCACCAGGCGATCTCTTCGGCCGCTATACGTGTAGTTGTGCCTACGATGCTAATGGGTTATGGGTCGCGTGATCGTGAATTTAATTTATGATCGCTATATCCGGGCACTCAAAGCTACGCTGCCATAGAATTAACATTTCTTGACGGTTTACCCTACTTTTTTGTCTATTACTGGGAGCTGTATTCTTTCTTTTCACGAGGCTAATAGTCCATCTCTTCTTATTCTGCATGCATTACACTGCCATCACATCCAAGCTAACTACATAAAATGCAATCTCTTTGACCAGCCGAATACAATGCACAATAGAATTAGATGGCGACAGAGTCACGGGTATTCGCAGAAGAAGTGCGAGCGGATTTTTTTAAGCGTTTTACCCCACGCAAGGGTGTAGGGCCACCAGTACGCATGGGGGTTACAGAGAATGAAAGCAAAGGAAAAGACAGAATATAGATGAGGATTGAGGAAAGGATAAAAGGTGAACGGGGTTCAAGTGAACAGAAGATGGCAGTTGACACTGCATTTACATTTTTGGAGATTGTAGTTGTCAGGGAAGCAAATAAGAGGAAGGGAGTTTCACAGTCGGGAAGTGAGAGAAAAGAAAACGTTGGAGTAGAAGTGGTGTTTACATTTAACTATTGCAACAGTTAGGAAAAGTGAAGAAGAAGAAGAAGACGACGATGAAAGTGGTTAAAACGAAGAAGGAAAGAAAATTTTTACGAAGAAGAAACTGGTTTAAAAAAATAGGCAAGTTGAAAAGAAGAAGAAGAAGAAGAAGAAGAAGAAGAAGAAGAAGAAGAAGAAGAAGTAAGTGTTTAAGACGAAGGAGGAAACAAAATTTTAAGAGGAAAAATTTGTCTTAAAAAACGGAAACTTAAGAAGAAAAAGACGACGAAAACGACGAAGAAAGTGGTTAAGACGAAGAAGGAAAGAACATTTTACGAAGAAGAAACTTGTTTAAAAAAAAATGGAAAGATAAGAAGAAGAAGAAAAAGGAGAAGAAAAAGAAGAAGAAGAAGAAGGAAAGAAAAATTTAAGAAGAGGCAGAAACTGGTTAAAAAAAGCAACAGTTAAGAAGACAAAGAAGAAGAAGAAGATGAAGAAGAGGATGAGGTGGAGGAGGAAAAAGAAGAAGAAGAAGAAGAAGAAGAAGAAGAAGAAGGAAAGAAAAATTTAAGAAGAGGCAGAAACTGGTTAAAAAAAGCGACAGTTAAGAAGACAAAGAAGAAGAAGATGATGATGAAGAAGAGGAGGAGGTGGAGGAGGAGGAGGTTTGAAAAAGAAGAAGAAGAAGGAAAGAAAAATTTACAAAGAAGGAACTGGTTTGAAAAAAGGGCAAGTTGAAAAGAAGAAGAAGAAGAAGAAGAAGAAAGAAGATGATGATGCTGATGATGAGGAGAAGGAGGAAGAAGAAAAAGAAGAAGAAAAAGAAGAAGAAGGAGTGCTTAAGACGAAGATGGGAAGAAAATTTTAAGAAGAAGAAGCTGGTTAAAAAAAGGAAAGTTAAGAAGAAAAAGAAGACGACGAACAAGAAGAAGAAAGAAGATGATGATGATGAAGAGGAGAAGGAGGAGGAAGAAGAAGAAGAAGAAGAAAGAAGAAGAAGATGATGAGGAGGAGGTGGAAGAAGAAGAAGAAGAAGAAGAAGAAGAAGAAGAAGAAGAAGAAAAAGAAGAAAGTGCTTAAGACGAAGGTGGTAAGAAAATTTTTAAGAAGAAACTGGTTAAAAAAGGAAAGTTAAGAAGAAGAAGAAGAAGAAGAAAGAAGAAGATGATGATGATGATGATGAGGAGGAGGAGGAGGAGGAGGAGGAAGAAGAAAAAGAAGTAGAAAAAGAAGAAGAAAAAGAAAGTGCTTAAGACGAAGGTGGGAAGAAAATTTTAAGAAGAAGAAACTGGTTAAAAAAAGGAAAGTTAAGAAGAAAAAGAAGACGACGAACAAGAAGAAGAAAGAAGAAGAAGAAGATGATGATGATGAAGAGGAGGAGGAGGAGGAAGAAGAAGGGAAGAAGAAAGAAGAAGAAGATGATGAGGAGGAGGTGGAAGAAGAAGAAGAAGAAGAAGAAGAAGAAGAAGAAGAAGAAGAAGAAGAAAGTGCTTAAGACGAAGGTGGGAAGGAAATTTTAAGAAGAAGAAACTGGTAGAAAAAAAGGAAAGTTAAGAAGAAAAAGAAGAAGACGACGATCAAGAAGAAGAAGAAGAAGGTAGGTAAAACGAGAAAGGAAATAAAATTTTAAGAAGAGGCATAAACTGGTTAAAAATGAAAAAGTTAAGAAGAAAAAAGAAAGAAAAAGTGAAAAAATGAAAAAGA